CTTATACAAGTCTATATTTAAAGGAGTACTCTGCACCACTCAGCATTGGTTACTTATAAAAAATTCATGCCTCTTACTCTCAGAAATGCTTACGAGATAGACTAAAAATGGTTGATAATGATGATGATGCACATACCTTCATCCGCAACATGACTCGTTTGTCAGGTCGCACTTTGGCTGAGACGGGTGGTGGGGCGGACGCCGGGGCGGGTCGCCTCGCTGCAACCGCGCTAATCCCCGTCCCGCTCCCCGCTGCCGCTACCGCTCCGCTCGCCGCGCTAGCTGTGGCCCCAGACTTGTGCGTTAGGGGGGGTGGCTCAAGCGGTGGAGGTGACGGTTTGCGGCAGTTCTGTGAAAATAAATACATAGTAAATGTTAAACATTAAGCCGCGTATCGATTATGCGCTTCAAGAGGTCGAACATTGACGCGCGCTCTAGCTGCGCGAAATGGATACCGCTTTGGAACGCGCCAAATTGTTCGTTGGAACGCTCAAACGTGGAGCGGATCGCTCATCTGATGTCGGTATTTTTTACCGCGCATCAAAATAGTTACGTATTGGTGCGCGCGCCAGTTGGGACGGTTGTTTTTATCATTCGTGTGTTCGTTGCGCTCTGAGCTATGGATAACCATAAATTGATAAAGTTATATGGTTCAAAATAACTGCAGTGGAATAGCAAATGTGGTTTTTATCATAATAAAGCCCTCGGAGAAGATGCATGGGAACTATAAAAGCGGCATCTGCTCGTACACGACCGACATACATGTTGAACAGTCAAACACTGGAGCGGCTGCCGCGCGCACCAGGCGCGCTTAGTTGATACACTTGGAACATTTGGGGCGCGTTCCACGGAACGCACTGGTCAGCGCGGTCATTGTGGCGCGCGCGTCGGATAAAAATGTATTTAGCAACGTGCGCCCGAGGCACGTCCACATCAGCCGAGGCATTGGCTCCCGAGGCTGCCGAGACTGCCGCGCGAGCCTGTGCGCTAAGTGCGTACGCGGTTATTGGGGCAGCGCCGGACATACTTTTTTGCCCGAAAATTCTCTTAGAACTCATTTCTGAGAGCTTGTGCCCAGCAGTGGTACGTATATAAAGTGTAACTTGTATATCTTTTATTTATTTGTTTATAAGTATGTTACATAGAATACTTCTTAGTATGTAATGGCCGTGCGGGCTAGACGGTACAGGCGGAGGCGAGGTACGCGCTCACCTTGCACAGGAAGTGTTGGTGCTGCAGCTGCGCGGACGGTACAGGCGGTGGCGAGGTGCGCGCTCACCTTGCACAGGAAGTGTTGGTGCTGCAGCTGCGCGGACGGTACAGGCGGAGGCGAGGTGCGCGCTCACCTTGCACAGGAAGTGTTGGTGCTGCAGCTGCGCGGACGGTACAGGCGGAGGCGAGGTGCGCGCTCACCTTGCACAGGAAGTGTTGGTGCTGTAGCTGCGCGGACGGTACAGGCGGAGGCGAGGTGCGCGCTCACCTTGCACAGGAAGTGTTGGTGCTGCAGCTGCGCGGACGGTACAGGCGGAGGCGAGGTGCGCGCTCACCTTGCACAGGAAGTGTTGGTGCTGCAGCTGCGCGGACGGTACAGGCGGAGGCGAGGTGCGCGCTCACCTTGCACAGGAAGTGTTGGTGCTGCAGCTGCGCGGACGGTACAGGCGGTGGCGAGGTGCGCGCTCACCTTGCACAGGAAGTGTTGGTGCTGCAGCTGCGCGGACGGTACAGGCGGAGGCGAGGTGCGCGCTCACCTTGCACAGGAAGTGTTGGTGCTGCAGCTGCGCGGACGGTACAGGCGGAGGCGAGGTGCGCGCTCACCTTGCACAGGAAGTGTTGGTGCTGCAGCTGCGCGGACGGTACAGGCGGAGGCGAGGTGCGCACTCACCTTGCACAGGAAGTGTTGGTGCTGCAGCTGCGCGGACGGTACAGGCGGAGGCGAGGTGCGCGCTCACCTTGCACAGGAAGTGTTGGTGCTGCAGCTGCGCGGACGGTACAGGCGGAGGCGAGGTGCGCGCTCACCTTGCACAGGAAGTGTTGGTGCTGCAGCTGCGCGGACGGCAGGCCGGCGCAGGCGGGGTGGTACAGGCAGAGGCAGGCGACGCACGCCAGCGACGGCACGGCGCCTCGCCCGCACGACATCGAGCACGGCTGGACCACCTGCCGGGGACTCTGCGCCCGAAACCAACAACATATTTATAACTTTGTATGTACGTGATAGAGCCATGCTGCAGCTATATTATGGTTGTAAGTACGAATGGGTCTGCTCAATCGGGAATGCTCTCCATAGAATACCGACGTGAAATAGCAGCTTATAGCTTCTCCCACACATAAGCTTACTTACGGTGGCGGCTAACAGCGAGCCGCGTCTCCAGCCGCTGCCACAACACACCACCGCGCCCGGAGTGGTGGCATGAAGCCTGAAGCGCCATTCGCTGTGGTGTCTGTGCTACGATCGGACGTCAGTAAACATGCCTAACCGTGACGAAATCTTATAACTCTTATTATTATATCCAGCAATATTATAAAGTACTGGATAATTTTTTTTATTTTTTTTTAAATACTAGTAATGCTATTAAACATTACTAATATACCCTATAACCACTTCTGCTAAGCTTTAAATGCTTGTGTTAGAAGTGGTTTACGACAGTAGTCGAATGGCGTATTCGAACCCACGACCTTTCGAATTCGCGGTCCGCGCCCTGCCATTAGGCTACTGACGCTTTTTTTTAATTTTGCTCTGTTTCTCTGTATTTATTGCCATTTCGCACGCGGTACAGGCGACTTGTTGTTAAAATTAGCAATTGACCGCGCTGCGGCCACCGATAGGCCGCACGGGTCTGCAGTAACTCTCACACGGGGCGGAGGGGCGGAGGGGGCGGGGCGCGCGGCTCCCGCAGCCGCTCGCAGCCGCGTCAGTGCCGCACGGGTCTGCAGACTCACTTACATTGCCAGCGAATACTGAATACAACTGGCTGCCACTGCGGCCGCTACCGCAAGCCGCTTGTGAATGGGAGACGTTTAATGCTGCTGTGTTTCGTATGGCGAGTGTAGAGAATCGGAATCACTTTTTACTGAAAACGAGGCATTACATTATAGTCCTCAGGGGTGACAACGAGATGTCTATGGGACACATTACCTACTAACAATCAGGTGGACACTGCTCGTTTCTCACAATTATACTATAAAAGAGAAAACATGCTTTGTATTTAAATGGCTTTACTGACATCAAAAAAGAAAGATAGACGGAGCACTGCATTCATATTAAGTGACGCCAAGCCCAAGTTAAAATATGCTCAACTTATTGTAAGAAGTTCTAGATGCATAAACATATATGCGTCTAGTAGTGTTTTTAAACCTTATTATTGTATGGTCTGTTAGAGAAAAAAAAAATAAGAAAAATATATGCTCACGCAGTGCTTGTCAAGAAGTTGAGCATGGTTTAAGCGCGACTCAAAATTGACGTTGTTGAAAGTCAAAGTTGAAAAATTAATTATCATATCATTGGATTTTATTTATAAAGAATAGCTATAAAGTTATACTCATTATTAATGAAGAAATAAGCTAAACTGGTAAACTAACCACAGAAGTCCTATGTTACATGCACTAAAAAAAATATGCACATAAAATAATGACCTCTACTGTTTTGACTTGGACATTTTACAATTTGCTAGATTTTTTTTTTAAACCCAAGTAGCAATATTGTTACAGTAATTTTATGTGAACATTAACAATTGTTTACGTGCATATGGATATAAATCTTTGCCCCTATGGATGTAAACTATGAAAATCTACCCATTAATATCGTAAGAATCGATTAATAGAAACGTCAAAAATATTTCAAGGTTCTCGACGGATAAAGTACTGGTAAGTCCTGGCTCATTTGGTAGAGTATCATAACAATACAGTGACTACAATGTTATAGATTAATGGAGAAGATGATAATACAAGTAGTATGATAGTAGACAAAGATAGTACGAGTAGAAGACAGTAGTACCTGATAGATATATATAGTATTACCGGTACAGCAGTGTCGCTGAGCACCTGGTGGGGGCGGCTCTGCAGCGGCGGCGGCGGCTGCGACGGGAGCGGCGGCGGCGGCGGCAGCGGGAGCGGGAGCGGCGGCGGCAGCGGCGGCGGCTGCGGGAGCGTCGGCGGGAGCGCCAGCGGCGGCACAGGCGCGCCCGCCGCCCTGGCCCCACACGCACACTACACTCGCCTCCGCTCAGTACCCGCACCAGGGGGTTAATTGCACAACGTCAATTAACCCCCTCACTTGTGTACATGCTTAGCCACAACAACTACACTCCTCTCCTCTCCGCGCATCATGGTTAAAATAAAAACGACAGATCATTCAGCTCAATTTGTTCGGTTTCTTAACAATTTTCTAACACTATAAAATAAGCTTTTATATTTCTTAAATATAATAAAAATCATTAAAAATTCTTCTTTTTCTTCTTGGTTTTGTCTAAACCAAAAAACAATTCTTCTGATATCACGTCAGTTATTAGTGACAACAAATTAATATGTACATAAATTATAAATAGTTCAATCCACAATTACACTTGCCTTTTTACTTATCTCCAATATGCATTATTACTTGCTAGTTTTACCATTTAAATTCATTGTTCCATCATACCCTGGTAAGTATTATGTGCACATATAACCTAACTTAAATTAACAAAACTATGCTGCAAAATTGCTACATGAAAACTGTTAAACTCTCAACAAAAATGTTTTATGGATTGTACTATAAATAAATTACAACTATAAATACTTAAAAACAAGAATAACTTACAATTACTTAGTAACTTAACATACATTTACAAACAAGCGTAACATATTTAAGTATTTGTGTGGTCATAATTAGCACCCTGCATTTTTTTTATACGGAGCCTAAAACTAAATTTTTACTAAAAATATTGTAGTTATCTCATAAGTAACTTCTTTATAATATATATATATATATTGTAAAATATATAATTAAATGTACTCCAATATCTTACCTAGGTTTCTTCCAGGCAGCAGTGTTGTTGTTGTCAACAGCGTTAGCGGTAGCGGGGGCGGGGCTGGCAGCTGCCGCAACTGTGGACTGCGGCCGACGCGGCTGTTTGGGCACACTGGCAGCTGGAGGGGTTCCATTGTTACTCAGCCGTGAGCCTACAGATTTCACCTACAACAAAATTAGTTTTTTTTAATATAAGTTACAAGTTTATAAAAAATAAGTGATTAGTTAAATTAATGAAAATTGTCATCTTGTATGTTTACACATTAATGGATCTATGGTCTCGATCGATCCATGTTCCTTAACAGCTGCTAGTTATATGCATGTTTTTCTTTTCTTAATTATAATATATTATATTAAGTAATATTTTTTGCGACATATTTCTTTATTGGCCATTGTAACTTTGCTTTTTTAATTTTTTTGTACTTTGTAATGCTGTGTCACCTATAAGGGTCCTCACATCTATTCCTAGATTAAGCCTACAGTCAAGTCTGACAACTTTACCAATGGAAGGTAACTTTGCCATCAGTGGTGTACTGATACAAAATTACGATTAACACGGAAAACGTAACGTTTTTTGAGATTTGTCATTTTTTGTATGAAAATTTAATAACTAATTAACAGCATTATTTTCAATATGGCAATATCAGAGTAAATTTTGACATTTTATTTTACCGCGAAATTGTGCCGGCGACTTAAACACCTTTTTCATTGTTCCAGAACTTTCGTAGATTTTAGTTGAAATACTGAATGTACCTATATCTTTGTAATAACGTAATATTAATGATTGGGAAATGTAATATTTCGTTATTAATATAGTAATCTTAATATTTGTCTACAAAACTAACTTGGCAAAGTTACCATACTAGTGATTTCACGATGTGACGGTTACTTTGCCATGTTTTGCTACAACCAAGGTTTGTCTCTTTTAGTTTATATTTTGACCCGACTATGGGGATTTAAATTATCAATCTATGTATGCATGTTTGTATAGATGTTTCACTGTAGCAGACTATTGGACCGATTTTATTTTTAATAAAATGAATCTATTGACATTTAATCCATTCATTTTTATTAAAAGAAAAAGAAAAGAAACGAGAAATCTATATTATTTTACTGCGTTGTCGGGTTTTAATAATATTATTACTTTTTAGTATTTTTCATATTTTCAACTTAGAGTATTATTATAATTTGCACCCAAAGAACAGTGTCATTTTAATCGCTTACTTATACCTTAACTTAACTAGTTTTGCTATTATTGGAAATCAAAATTTAGGTTGTTTATAAAAAAAAATCCTGATCTTAATAAAATGATATCACTTTAGGAAAATGGATCGCCAAAGTAGTAACTATATTATCTGACGTTAAAAATACACTAAAGAACAAAAAATATTTTGACTTGTCACAATATTCTCCAATAACATAAAACAGAATGGATTTAAATTTTAACATTTGTCTAAAATCGTCAACTGGTATTACAATGGGTGAAGAAGGTTTTGATCTATATGAAAATCCTGTGGCGAGCACATCTAGACTTAATAATAATAATACTCAATCAGAGAAGCGGAAATTGTCTAATAAAAGAATAAAGCCGACGAAAAGGCGACAAGTTGAATTTCTTGATAGTGACGATGACTCTAGCAAAGAAAATTGTTCATAATTATTCTTATGTTTATTTATTTATAATTATTGAGAATTTAATTTAAAAAAAAAACGTATACCTCCTAAAAATTGTTGTGAAAATATTGAAATAAAAAATGTAAGTAAATAAATAATAAATAAAAATTATTTATTTCGGACAACAAGATCCATAGAATTTGTTAGTAAAGAAAAACTTACATCTATGTTAGTAATATAATTTATACTCAATACTTTATTATTAAGCGAGACATAGTCCTGGCGATCATTTGTTTAATCAGTGGACAGTAAAGTACGTAATTAAGATTTTTGACAACCCTGACAGATATCTTTAAGTTTGTATGAAATATTAAAAAATGAGAGGGCAACTTTGCCACAAGAGTAAACTTTGCTATTTACAACACAATTAAAGGAGCAAATCATCACTCTGAGTATTGTGTATTATATTATGAGGTAACTAACCTTCAGCCTTTAAGTCAAATCCTATTATTTTCATTATAAACCCTGATGGCAAAGTTGCCACAAAGTGAGGTTAACTTTGCCATTTTGTTTTTAGAAGTATTTTGCCTATTTAATGTTATTATTTGTTTAATCACTAATAAATACCAAATCTATGAAGAATAATAATGTTACATTTAACATTGACGCCCAATGTGACAGTACATTTTTTGTTGGAAAATTGGTCCTAAACTTTTAGTCCTTCCAAAAATGGCAAAGTTGCCACAAAGTGAGGTTAACTTTGCCATTTTGTTTTTAGAAGTATTTTGCCTATTTAATGTTATTATTTGTTTAATCACTAATAAATACCAAATCTATGAAGAATAATAATGTTACATTTAACATTGACGCCCAATGTGACAGTACATTTTTTGTTGGAAAATTGGTCTTAAACTTTAAGTCCTTCCAAAAATGGCAAAGTTGCCACAAAGTGAGGTTAACTTTGCCATTTTGTTTTTAGAAGTATTTTGCCTATTTAATGTTATTATTTGTTTAATCACTAATAAATACCAAATCTATGAAGAATATAATGTTACATTTAACATTGACGCCCAATGTGACAGTACATTTTTTGTTGGAAAATTGGTCCTAAACTTTTAGTCCTTCCAAAAATGGCAAAGTTGCCACAAAGTGAGGTTAACTTTGCCATTTTGTTTTTAGCAGTATTTTGCCTATTTAATGTTATTATTTGTTTAATCACTAATAAATACCAAATCTATGAAGAATATAATGTTACATTTAACATTGACGCCCAATGTGACAGTACATTTTTTGTTGGAAAATTGGTCCTAAACTTTTAGTCCTTCCAAAAATGGCAAAGTTGCCACAAAGTGAGGTTAACTTTGCCATTTTGTTTTTAGAAGTATTTTGCCTATTTAATGTTATTATTTGTTTAATCACTAATAAATACCAAATCTATGAAGAATATAATGTTACATTTAACATTGACGCCCAATGTGACAGTACATTTTTTGTTGGAAAATTGGTCCTAAACTTTTAGTCCTTCCAAAAATGGCAAAGTTGCCAGGTTTCACGGTACTTAAAATAAAAAGGTAATATTATGTGCCCTGCTGGTTTCCTATAAATAAATAAATTAATTAATAGTGCTATGACCATAGTGCTTGTTATGCAGATAAATTCTTGGCCCTTTTCAAGGTTTCTTGGTCAAGTTATTTCCCCTTTTTTTTTAGCAGTAAGGAAAGTCATTTAAAACAGTTGAGAAATTTTAATTTTGTAATTATATGAAAAAAAAATCTTTTTTATATAGAATAAGCGTGACAAATGAACACAGCCCACTTGATATTAAGTGGATGCTGTGGCCCATAGAATCAAAATGCGTTAGCACTCCTGAGGACTAAGATGGATTGCCTCATATTAAGTAAAAAGGGTATCCACTTCTCAACACTCACCATACGAATTGCAGCAGCATTGAGCTTTACACTTTATGCTGGTACTCTGTGAAAGCGTAGTGCTTCCCCGGTCGAGCCAATTCATTCGTGCTATAACCATAACATAGCTGCAACAAGGCTCTACCACGTATAAATGCAGAGAAATTCAATATTAACCTTGATTTTAGCAGGTGGTGACTTTGGTGTCACTGGCTCTGGGCTGGCACCTTTGGGAGGTTTGGGCTTCGGCGTGCGCTTACCCTCTATCGTGGGCGCCGCAGGAACTGTAACTGGAGACTCCACGCGACGCATTAACTTAGCATCTCTGGAATTAATTAGAAAATTTTGTACTAGCATAATATAGTTAAGCCCGTGTAGTGGCGGGTAAGAATACCCACTACCCCATATCTTCCCGTGGGTGTCGTTAGAGGCGACAGAGGGAAACTGAGGCAGAAGATGGGCAGCAGCATTTTTCTGATAACAGCAAAAAGCAATAAAAAAAACTGCGGTTGCTAACCCGCTCGCCAAGCGTGGCAACTATACCAATATACCCCCCATGAGCAATGAAACTAATACACAGCCCCCAGTCCCCGGCGGCCTCGCTATTCGTGGCTACGGTGGCGACCATGGTAACAGCGGGGCGGGGCGTGCTAAGAATCTCCGGTGGAGGTTCGATTGCCACCTACGACAACTCGACTTGGCAACTTATAACGCACGCACCCTGAGGACTAACGAGAAGATCCTAGAGCTGGAGGAAGAGATAGTCAATTTGCGCTGAAATTTTATAGGATTATCCGAGGTCCGAAGAGAGGGGGAGGACATGGTAATCCTCGTATCCGACAACTTCTTCAATCACCGGGAGGGCGACCATCTGTGTCCCAAGGCGTTGTCGGATTTATCGTCCACAAGTCTCTCGTTAACAACGAATCGTCTCGCATGCAGACTCGACGAGCGGAGCTTCTGAAAGCGGGTGGAAAACCGGTACTTGAAGTCCTTCAGAAGCTCTTTAATTCCGTCCTCCATGGTGGCACTACTCCGGAGGCGTGGAGCAGAAGTGCGGTGGTCTTGTTCTTCAAGAACTCTCTAGAAGAACTACATCGATTTCCCTTCCGAAAAGGCCATGAACCACATGCACACCCTTCGACAAATTGTACAGAAGACAGAGGAGTACAATCTGCCACTTTGCCCTGCGTATGTGGACTATGAGAAAGCCTTTGATTCTGTCGAAATTTGGACGGTGCTGCAGTCCCTTTAGCGGTGCCAAGTAGACTGTCAGTATATCGAAGAGATGAAGTGTTTGTACAGTAGGACTACGATGGCTATCCGATTACAGAACCAGAGTACGAAACCTATCCAACTGCAGAGAGGTGTAAGACAGGGTGATATAATATCCCCGAAACTCTTCACCGCTGCACTGGGCGACGTTTTCAAGCTACTGGACTCACCTTCGATTTGCCGACGATATAGTACTTATGGCAGAATCGCTGGAGGACCTAAGCATTATTCTCAATGACCTCAATAGTGTCTCCCAACGATTAGCTTTTAAGATGAACACGGACAAAACAAAAATTATGTTTAAAGTCCATGTCACACCTATGCCGGTAGTTGTTGGGAGCACTAAGCTCGAAGTTGTTGACGAGTATGTTTACCTGGGACAAATAGTCCGACTAGGTAAGTCCTACTTAAGATGGTAGGAATATACGGAGGGAGATCAAACGTGGGGTTCCGCAGGGCTCAGTGCTGGGTCCGCTACTGTGGAACCTCACGTACGATGCGGTTCTGTGTGTCGACCTTCCTGCTGGCGTAAATATCATGTGCTATGCCGATGACACACTGGTGGTCGCCAGCGGGGTCACCTTCGAGGGAACCAAGGAGTTCGCTGAGCTTGGGACAGAAGACGTCGTCGCCAAAATCCACGAGTTGGGTCTAGAAATAGCGCCTCATAAGACCGAGGCCTTATGGTTTCATAAATTACTTCGGAGCAGGGAACCACCCGACTCGTGCGTCTACGTGAGTGGGTATATAGTCAGAGTGGGGCGGTACATGAAGTACCTAGGGCTCCACCTGGACAGTCGCAGGGGCTTCGAAGAGCTCTTTGAGGGCACTCCCCCGGATTGAGAGGGTGGCGGTTGCTATGCACAGACTGCTGCCTAATCTATGGGGACCGAGGGAGGAAATACGCCACCTCTATGCGGGGGTAGTACGGTCCGTAGCCTTATACGGGGCACCTGTGTGGGCGAAAAGGCTAGCCATCCGGCGCTGTAGATCTAAAATCTACAGTGTCCAGCGGAGGATGGCTATACGAATCGTGCGGCGATACCGCACGATATTTTTTGAGGCGGCAACAGTCCTGGCTCGCTTGCCACCCCTAGATATACTGGCGGACATGGATGCGAGGGTGTACAACCGAATCCGCATCCTTCGTCAGAGAGGTGGTAGTGAGCCAGATGAGGCGCTCGAGTCTATAAAACGGCAGGAGCAACAGAACGCTTTAGCGATGTGGCGCACTCGACTCAAAGAGGAGCGCTATGCCCGCAAACGTGTTATTGGCGCAATCCTGCCGATCTTCGAAGCCTGGATGCAGCGACGGGTAGGAAGACTCACCTACAGACTTACACAGATAATTACCGGGCACGGGTGCTTCGGTGATTATCTGTGTAAGATCGGACGCGAAGCGACGGCAAACTGCTTCCACTGCGGTGGACAGGACCAGGACTCCGCGTCCCATACACTAGCGGTATGTCCAGCGTGGGAACGGGAGCGAATGATCCTGGAAAACCGGGTCGGTCGGGACCTCTCCCTGCCAGCAGTCGTGTCGGCGATGTTAAGCGGGGACTCGGCGTGGAGGGCCGTAGTCACCTTCTGTGAGTCAGTAATGGTGGTCAAGAACGAGGCTGCTGAGCGAGATCGGAGGAGGACAGATCCCGCTCGGAGACGACGTCATCTAGGCGTTCGTCACGGCCCTTCCTTTGAAGATGGTGTTCCCCTACCAGAAACGGGGCCTCTGGGATTACAGGCGTTTGGAGCGAGGGCCTCGAATGCCTAGTAACGTAAACCCCGAGGAGGACGCTGGCTCGGAAGTGGTCCCGAAACATCGTGATTGCACTGCGAGGGTGCGAGGGTGCTGGGGGTAGTAAGTTCTGCCTCTGGGACGTTCTTCAAATAAAGCAAAGCGAGAGGGGGGGCCCCGGTTTCGTTCCGAACGGAGATCCCGGGACCCCTCGTACACGCTGATGGTGACCACCGTGGGGTTTTGGCCGGTAGGAGTCCGGCATAACCTCCCGGTTGCCCCCGCAGCCGGAGGTATCCATGAGGATTTCCCCACGAAAAAAAAAGGTAAGTGCAACTTCGACCGAGAGGTCAATCGACGGATTCAACTTGGGTGGGCAGCGTTCGGGAGATTACTACACATCTCGTCAGACATACCTCAAATCTAGATTGTACAACCAGTGCGTGTTGCCAGTGATGACCTATGGATTTGAGACGTGGTCCTTCACTGCTGACCGTATGAGGAAGCTATGAAGACAGTTATGCTCGGCGTTTCTCTGCGTGATAGACTTAAAAAAGAGGATATCCGCAGTAGAACCAGAGTAACCGACATAATCCAAAGATTTAGTATGTTGAAGTGGCAATGGGCCGGCCATATAACTCGAAGAACCGACAACCGATGGGGAAGAAAGGTGCTATAGTGGCAGCCTCGTACCGGCAGGCGAAGTGTAGGGCGTCCCCCCACTAGATGGTGACGACCTGGTAAGACATGCAGGAAGTCAATGGATGCAGGTGGCTCGGGACTGTGCTTTGTGGCATTCCTTGGGGGAGGCCTATGTTCAGCAGTGGACTTGTGAAGGGCTGTAATAATGATGATGACGATGATGATGATAATAGTTAATACCATCAGACCCACACTTAAATTACTAATAGTGATACAAAAGTAAAATATTTCCTGCCTTTTAGACGATTTACTGGCTATTGACTGGTGTAAGGCATAAAGTTCACATATTGCAAATCTTAACTTTATCGGCTCTTTATTAAGCCCAAACAGTATCCTGTTTACAATTAGTTTCTGGTTTCTATTTTTTATATATTTTAGTCGGTGGGAAACGTTGTGAAGTAGTCCACACAATATAATAAAAGGAGAGTTAAGTGCAGAATAAGCTGGTCTACTTAAACTTATCAAACCAGGCACACATCTCTTCATTGATCACCTTTCAACATAACACTAGAATCTCTACCAGGAAAGAAATCACTGTATGATATTTGACAGCAAATGTAAAATTTCGCGAAGACTGTGGCGCCGCTGCTACGAGACTTCTTTAGTAATAAAGACTTCTTCTTTAACCATAGTTTAATTGGAAACTATTCAATAAACCATGTTTTGTAATAGGACGGTAGGTAACTATAATGAAGCAAATACAAAGAGGAGGTATTGTAATTAGATTCACTATGTAACAACGCGTGACAATTTGCGGGGTGAGGGGATGTTAAGCCCCGCCCACATTACACTATCTACATCTACCGATAAATAGTAAAACTACTCGAATCGTTCCATATCGATGTTGCAATGTATTGCGATATGATTTGCGATTTTCAACACATAAGCGCACAGGACGAATGCTGACAGCATACTAACTAAAACCACGCTCACTATGATGACGTCAGGACCTACTTAGAATCACAGTGCACAGTTGTTTATGCCGTCTCCTCTTTGTATTTGCTTCATGGTAACAACGATGTATTTAACAGTAGCTCTCTTAAGTATAATTAATATGAAAGTCGAAATTTACCGTGTACTTGACCAATTTTAAAATAATAAAAAAGGCTTGAATCTTTTTTTTATAGCATAGAGTGGCAAACGAGCACACAGTCCACCTGATAGTAAATAGTTGTTGTCACCCGTGAGGACCAAGATGGAATTGCTCTTTTACAGTAATAGATACATATAGTACAGGGTCTCTGGTTCTCTATACTTACCATACAAAACACAGCAGTGTTAAGCCGCCATTTTAGGCTGGTATTGTGAGAGCGTGGTCCTTCCCCGGTCGACGCATTCGTGCTACATTTATACTATTAATATAGCTGCAGCATGGTCCTACCACATATAAATCTGACTTATGGTCTTTCATTGAAAAAATACTAGAAACACTAGTAACATTACTTATTCAAGTAAGCTTAAAGTATTTGTGTTAGGATTGGCACACGACAGTGGCGACACAAATGTGGCATCCGAACCATGACATTTTAAGTTTGTAATATGCACCCTTCGCAACACTATTACTTAAAATAATAATTTAAACATGTTTAATAAATGAAAAATGTAGTTGTAAAAAAAACTTACCGTATAATTTCCTTCTCAGGATCATCCACGCCCAGAGGTTCTTTGAAGAAGGAAAAGTTTTCTAAAGTCAGGCCAGTTCCTGCTAAATTCTCGGCAACCTAAAAAGAAATATTTATTTTAATTTTTATGATTGTATAGCTTACCAGAGGTAAATTAATAAAACACATTGAAGGTTTAGAGTCCAAGAGAACTAAAGTAGTTTAAAGTGAGCTTGATATCTAAATGAAAAAAAGTCTAGATTAACATCTAACACCACATCCTTGTCTCAAACTGTTACATACCGTCTAAAATTAAAATTAATGTCGGGCCACTTGCATAACTATACTGTTAAAACGGTATACTGATGATTCAACGCCGCAACTGTTAACGGGTTTCTACTCATGGTTTAAACATAATTATAACTAAACTTATAATTATAGTTTAAATATTGGGGAAATTATTAACTTCGACTATGATAACGTAAGCTGCAATGCAAGCTTGCGCGAAACTTACTATTGTGCGTTACGATTAATACAAGGTACATGGCGACACTAGTTACCACTAGCGCCCTCTAGTATCGAGTAGCAGAACTAGGAGAGTCAAGAACATTCTAGACATTTCCATGGAAGAACTTTCTAGAACTATCGACACCTAGTCAATCGGGACCGATATGTACTCATTCTAGAAGTTTCTATAGTAGAAGGTTCTGGAAACTACCTGAGGCTCTATATAAGGTCGGTATAGACCATGACTGGGTCAGTGTTGTTTGGCGATACAAGCGAATACTTCGAAGCGACACAACTGCGAACTAAAGTGATCAATACAATACAATACAATAACTTTATTTTAGGCATCAAGGACTTAAAAATTAAGAACATTGGCCTATAGCAATATATACCTTAAACTAAAAATATATATACAACATGTCCCAAAATTCAACGATAAGCCAACACCGGAGGATAGACCTGCCCCGGACTAATCGGGTAAAAAAAGAAAAAAAAATATATCCCAATTATATTTTAAGTTATATAAAAAAAATGAAATTCTTCAGAAATTGAGACCGTTTATGATATTTTTCACTACCATGACCACAATTTTTTAAATATTTTTTTCTTTTTTTTTATAGGCAACCTGAATAGTACTGCTATCTACCACAATTCTTAAAAACTCCAGAATAACTCTTGTTTTATCACGAAAATTAATGAAACTTATTTTATTCCCTAAATTTTTTGAAGACTTTTACTTTTAACCAAATTTAACTTATCGTGGTGTAAAAAAAAAGTATGAACACTAGTATGGCAAGTTTTTTTAAAAATTGACGCAACTAACCAATATTCCAAAATGGTATAATACTCTAGGAAAACAAGTTATAAAAAAAATATGGGCCTATTATTTCTTAACAGGGGCCAAATTCCTTAAATTGTAATTGTCAGTAATCACTTTTACTACATGCCCAAAATGGGTTCCTGTTACAATTTCTAGGAATTCGAATGGGGCATTAATACCTTAGATGTTAGAGAGAGATAGATAGATAGAGATATTTACGTTAAAAAGAGACAACAACAGGGCAGGTAGAGAAGCTGTTATTATTCTCAGCAAGTCGGTTCAGTACGCTCTGCTCCTTTGTTTACTGCGCACCGTACCCAATTCAACTTACGTGGCCCTCGTACATACTATCGACTTTTGGCTTGGCTTTTTGGACTGGAATCGACCTGCAAACTTAACTGACCTGGCATTATTTGGACTGGAAGTGATCTGCAAACTGAACTGACCTGGCATTATCTTGGACTACGATTGTGTGTTTTGTGATTTAGAGTTCTGGCGCATTTTGGACTGTTTGGCGTTTAACATGCCGCAACCGTACACACCACAGGAATACGCTAATATGCATTTAATCTATGGAGAATGCCGATGTAATGCTAACGCTGCTAGCAGACTGTATCCAGAAAGATACCCAAATGCTCAAAGATATCCTGATTATCGAGTGTTTATTAATGTGCATCAAGCGTTTTCGGAGGGTCGTATGCCATCCAATAGGAGCAGCGCTGGAAGACCTAGATTGGATCGTGATGAAGAAGTTCTCAAGGAGATAGAAAATGACTCGACTACTTCGGTACGTGCCATAGAAGAAGCTACAGGAATCCCGAAAAGTTCTGCACATCGAATATTAAAACGTCACAAGCTTCACCCATATCACTACAGGCGTGTGCAGACGTTATTACCGCGGGACTATCCGCTACGGGTCACATTTTGCCGTGTAATGCTGCAAAGGCACAGTGAAGATCCCCACTTCCTAGACAAAATTCTATGGTCGGATGAAACAACGTGCAAGAAAGATGGGTATTTAAATCTTCACAATCTACATAATTGGAGTAATGAAAATCCACACTTGATGAGACAAGACAAATCCCAATATCAATTCAAGGTTAACCTATGGACCGGCATATTAAATGGAAAAGTAATTGGGCCCTTTGAGTTACAAGGAAACTTAGATGGCAATAGTTATTTAAACTTTTTACAAAATGACTTGCAAGAATTGTTAAACGACGTGCCCTTAAGTGATCTTCAAAACATGTGGTTCCAAAATGATGGTTGCCCAGCACATTATGCCCGTCCTGTGCGAGAATATTTAAATCAAGAGTATCCAGGGCGTTGGATCGGGCGACTTGGTCCTATCTTATGGCCACCCCGTTCACCCGATTTGAACCCCCTGGACTTCTTCTATTGGGGTTGTCTTAAAAACAGGGTCTACTCAAAACCCATTGTGACATTGGACGAGCTTCGTCGAAATATCACTCAGGCTGCTAATTACATTAATAGCAGAAGATATGCAAGACAAATAAAACGATCATTTTTAAGGCGATGTCGTGCATGTATTAATGCTGGTGGCAAACAGTTCGAACATTTGCTATAATGTTAATAACTTAATAAATTACACGTGAAACTGTTTGTACCATTTGTTTTGAAATATTAAACATTTTTCAAGAAATAATACTTTTAATACACCCGACCGTCATTTGGCCCCTGTTAAGAAATAATAGGCCCATATTTTTTTATAACTTGTTTTCCTAGAGTATTATACCATTTTGGAATATTGGTTAGTTGCGTCAATTTTTAAAAAAACTTGCCATACTAGTGTTCATACTTTTTTTTTACACCACGATAAGTTAAATTTGGTTAAAAGTAAAAGTCTTCAAAAAATTTAGGGAATAAAATAAGTTTCATTAATTTTCGTGATAAAACAAGAGTTATTCTGGAGTTTTTAAGAATTGTGGTAGATAGCAGTACTATTCAGGTTGCCTATAAAAAAAAAAGAAAAAAATATTTAAAAAATTGTGGTCATGGTAGTGAAAAATATCATAAACGGTCTCAATTTCTGAAGAATTTCATTTTTTTTATATAACATAAAATATAATTGGGATATATTTTTTTTTTTCTTTTTTTACCCGATTAGTCCGGGGCAGGTCTATCCTCCGGTGTTGGCTTATCGTTGAATTTTGGGACACGTTGTATATCAGTAGTACAATTGTGTTTTATTATTAGTGGGGTTTCAAGTTGTCTCGAACCCCAAGCTCATAACAATTGGTGTCAGAAGTGGGATCAAATCATGCCGATTTTACCAAAAGATTACACGGAGGGTATCCGTACCCGAAGTCAACGCCAGCAGGAGACGGACCAGAGACGATTTGGTGGTGCAAAGCCGCAGACGTCGGGGGGCCAGCTGCTGACTACGGAGGCCGGCCCGTCAGCAGTTCCTGCATCTGCAGTACCTGACTTAGGTGCTCTAATTATGATGCTGCAGGAACAGGCCCACCTACAGGAGGAACAGGCCCGTCGGTTGGAAGAGCAGCTGCAGCGGGGACAGGAGGAACTGGCCCGTCGGTTGGAAGAGCAGCTGCAGCGGGACAGGAAGAACAGGCCCGTCGTTTGGAAGAGCAGCTCAAACGCGATAAGGAAGAGCAGATGCTCCTCATGAAGGATCTTCACGCTTCCTTCGGGAAAGAGATAAGGGAGGTGAAAGATAGGATTTCTCAACATGACAACCGCCTGTCGGAAGCTGAAACCCGAATCAACCAAGTGAACAATCGAGTTGACTGTTGACAACGTGATGGCTGACATGAAGAAAACGCTGGGGATGGAATTACAGCTCCCATGGTCGCTACAACACCTTCGCCACGTGGATTCAAAGTTCCACCGTTCTACGGGACTTCCTGGTCGGCCTACAAAATCCAGTTCGAGGCTGTCATGAAGGCGAACGGCTGGAATAAAAGTTAGGCCATGACTGCTCTCACCCTAGGCCTGCACGACCAGGCCTTAACTATTCTGAAAGCTCTCGATAAGGAAGTGACTTACGAGTAGCCTTAGTCCTTGAGGCATTGGAGGCGAGATATGGCGATGCTCACCTCACTGCACACATCTTTCCTGCGCAGCTCAAAGATCGCGTGCAACGCAGAAACGAAAACCTTCAGCAGTAGGCTCTTGAGGTGGAAAAGTTAGTTCGAAAAGCATACCAGTCTGTACCTGCGCTCATTGTAGGGAACCTGGTGCAGACATTCATCGACGGCATTCGCGACCTTGAAGTCAGAGCTGCTGTGAGGTTCGGGCACCACGAGAAGCTTAAGGACGCATTGGCCTCTGCACTGGAGGTGGAAGCCATGCGGCAGGAACATCGTTCCCATCGCGTCAGGGAGGTGTCAGCAGCTACAGTTCGCGACCGCAATAAAGGATACAGCCCTAATTGCTACGGCTGTGGGGAAAGGGCCATCTTCGATCCAGCTGTCCTAAGCGAACTGTAGAAAGGGGAGGTGATCGATCTCGAGAGGGTAGTGCAGCTAACAGCAAAGTCGCAGCAGCAGGAAAACTGGCGGGTGCTGGCCGATGTTAAAAAAGCCCCAAGGATTTCGATCTCACAAACCCATCATGGGAACAGTCTAATCATCAAGGGCGAGATCAACGGAACACCGTGTAAACTGACCATTGACACTGGAGCCTCTCGCACGGTTGTCAGTTCCCAACTTATTCAGTTCCTTGGGAATTACATACAATCTAGAACGCATTAATTTAGTAACAGCCACCGGTCAGCGCATACCCGTCCGTGGAGAGAAGGAGATGGAGTTGA